GTACCCCTTACTTTCGGAAACTCCCGCTTACGCCCGAATCTCCAAAGTTGAGTGTGCACGATCGCATGGAGACTTGCGCCCGGCCATGGGCCCCAAGACCCCGGTTTAGGGTTTAGGGTACCCCCAAAAAAGGAAACAGCAACGCTAAACAGCCCTAAACCCTGAATTTGTTCAAAAGTGGGTCATGGATGGAGAACCTCAAGCACCCAGTCCCGTGAAACTGGACCACAGGATCTTCAGCTAGACCTCTGGTTGGGCTCTCTTAAACCTGGATTGCGGCACCAACTGAAATATTGAGCTGAGGCTATTGGGCCCAACGACAGATCATGAAATGTAAGGCTGTGGGGCTATTTTGAGCCAAGGGGTAGTGACAAACTTCACCTGGATGCACATCCGCAGGTCCACAGGGCCTGACATACTAGCATTAGATTCGTGCTCCCGAAGGCTCTATGTACCCATATTGCATGCACATAGGCCTGCAAATACAGGTATATGCATAAGGGGTTCTAGTCTGTACGATGCAGGTGATGCGCCAAAAGAAAAAGCCCATACCCCAAGCGCGGCCCCTGCATTTGGCATCTTCGTCTCTCCAGCGATCGTGGTGCGTTTGCGCTTCGGGCAGTACCGTACTGCCTGAAACAGCACGGTTGCCTAGCATGCCTAGCACTCCAGAGGTTTCAAGGCATCAAAGACACTTGAGTGATATGTTATAAAGAACTCTGTCCATGCTTAGTCATGATATCACTCTGTTATTGCTCGGGTCGTCTCGACCTGCAGCCTACTCCCCTGATCTGAAGTCAGTGCAGAGAGCTATCTAGTGATCGATGTAAAGGCCAAAAGAGGGAGAATGAGCCTTGAAGCCTTGAATCCTGAACCATAACCCCTTCATCCTATACTCGGAATCCCCAACTGTAGGGAGAGAGCCTTGAAACATCGAATTCCTATTGGCTTCGCGGAAGTCTGCGATGGCAGACAGCCAGCTACAGCATCTGCTGGCCTATGTCGTCAGGATCAGGTCCCAAAGTTCTGGACCTGTGGGCTGAAGTTTGCAAGAGTACTATGCCTCACCCCACCCTAAACCCTAAACC